ACCTAGCAGTTCGAAAGCAAGAAATTGCAAGTAGATAAATAGGTACAGCTTCGGTGGGAAGGGAACAGCGTTCCGTGCACCTCGGCGTTTAGTCATGCCGGCCACATGACCACGGAAACGTCTTCGGACAGCACTGGCTCTTCGGCTTGGAAACGGAGATGAGCACCGCAACCCTAGAGTCGGATTTGACTGGCTTTTGAGCAAGGGAACCTTTACCTTCACCATCTCTTCCTGGAGGCCCTGTATCTCTGGCTCCCAGTTTTCAAGGTGCGTGGCACCAACAGGGCTTCCGTGCTCTGATTGCGCGTCGTTCCGTTACCCAACGTAGGCCGTCACCGATTAAGTTTGGGGGAATTAGCTAAAGGAGACAGAGCAAGAGGCGGGTAAGTGGGATTTTCCACCTAGGTACCCGGATGTTTCCCTTTTAGAGAGTTCTCAAATAAACCAGGCAGATGTTCAACTGGAAAGGTTTTCATTTATTTTTTTAAATTTCTACCCCGCCCTCCCCACGAATGGGCTCAGGGCGGCTAACAAACAGGGGCACCATGTGCCAATACATAAAGAAAAATAACTTGAGTGAGAAAATACTGATGTCCTTCTATCGTTGGTCAATAGAGAGCATTTTAACATACTGTGTCTGTGCCTGGTTTGCCAGTTGTACGGCTGTGGATAGGAAAGCACTCCAGAGAGTTATCACCACAGCCCAGAAGATTATTGGCTGCCCTCTCCCATTCCTGGAGGAATTGTATAGTTCTCGATGTTTGAAAAAAGCAAAGAACATTCTGCAGGATTTGTCACACCCTGAACACTCCCTGTTTGAACTGCTGCCTTCGGGTAGAAGATATAGGACAATTAAAACAAGGACAAACAGATTAAAAAATAGTTTTTATTCGAGAGCTATTATTGCTTTAAATGCTGCATGATGTTGGAATTTGGGTGACATTGGTGGTTTAAGTTGCAATGTGAACCTTAAGGGAGTTATGGGATGGTTGTGAATGGTTGTGTGAGTGTATATGAGTATGGTTGTAGATCACCGAATGATTGCACCTTTAATTTCGTTGTACTATGTACAATGACAATAAAGATTATTATTATTATTATTATTATTAAAATTTAAAAAACAGGATAAAACAGAATAAATGACCAAAACTTACATAAAGCGCTCAATGCTGTTACTCTTGAATTAAGACAAGATGGTGTCCAGTAGATGTTGTCTCCGTCCCAGTGCAACGGTACCGATCCATCGCGCCACTGAAGTTCGATCGTCCTAGGGCCGCTCCGTTCCCAGTTATCAGCCGGGCTCGTTGGTGGTGGTGGTAGTGGCGGCTCCTAGTCGAAAGCCTGGTGGAAGAGCTTTGTCTTGCAGGCCCTGTGGAACTGTACCAGGTCCCGCAGGGCCCTGATCCTCCGGGAGCTCATTCCACCAGGTAGGAGCCGCCACTGAGTAGACCCTGGCCCTGGTTGCAGCAAGCCGGGCCTCCCTGGGGCCTGGGATCACTAAGCGATGTCGTGCCCATCGCATTCTGCACTAGCTGCAGCTTCCGGATTTACGACAAAGGCAGCACCATGTAAAGAGCGTTACAGTGCAAGACCAAAATGCACACGATAAGCACGTACAAAAGGGCTAACTAAGAGAAACACAGGGAGGAAAAGAGGGAAACGATTTTAGGGAAGGGCAATAATTATCAAATTTGAAGACGTCCACGGAAGTAGCAAAACAGCCAGCATTTCAGGAAGCAAGAGAGGAGAGCCCACATGCAAGTGGGGGTGTGCAGGGGATCCAAGAACACAGACACTGCTGGGGCAGCAGGGTGTGTCCAGTTATAGGGCAAAATGTACCCTCAGGTGGGGATGACACGGGAAAACAATGACTAAATGGCTTAACTGGAGGTAGACAAAAATGCATGAAGGCTTGACGGCTTCACAAGTACACAATCGGGAAGGTGAATAGATTTAAGCGTTGATAAATTGCCTCTTAATTAAGGGGTAATTGGTATGCGTAAGTGAGGCTGGGGTGTTGGTGGGATTATGCTGAGTGAATCAGTAGGTCCTGGGCAACCCATTGTTCTAAAGTCATGTACCCAGGGGAAGGAGGGAGTCGTAGCCAGGCAGCCACTTCTGATTCACATTTTTATTTTTATTTTTGTCATTTTTTTTAAATTTAGGATATAAACATTCATAATCAACATTAAATTTTTTGCATTTGTCCCTTTCATACCCTACCCACCTCCCTTTTCCCCTTCCTAATATATGGCTTCCCACAGTGCTTCGACCTCCTGCCCATCTCTTTATTAATTTTTACAACAACAATTTTCTTTTTGTAATTCACTAGGTAACTATTATTTCACTATAGTAATTAATTTTTAACTTATCCTATCTCCCAAGCATTCTATGATTAATAATTATTAAAACTAAACAAATTGTCTTTTACTTCCCAATACTTTTCTAAGTATTCTTTTAGATCCTTCCAGTCATTATAGAAATCTTCTGCTTCCATATTATTCAACTTTCTTGTCAGTTTGTCCATTTCAACTGAAAATAATAATTTCTTAATCCAATCTTCAATCTTCGGGACTTCTTGCTGTTTCCAATTCTGAGCATATGTCATTCTTGCTGTAGTTATCATATACCACAACAGAGTTCTCTTTGATACATTAACCTCTTCCATTTTTAGTCCCAAAAGTAGTATTTCTGGTTCCTTTTTAAATGTACAATGATTCGCATTTTTAAATTGCTTTCCCTGGCTGGCATCCATCCTGGTCCGTTTTGGCCCAAGCAGTGCCCTGCACTAAGATACTGGAGTGATATATGGAGAGATGTTTCTGCCTCTATAAGCTATAAACGGCCCCTCTGCAGTCCAGGGCATCTTGCTGACCACAGCGCACTAACCCGGCAGAGCACTTTGGTCCTTATGTCTTTGCAAGGCGGAGGCGAGCTCTGTTTCTCGGCTCTTGCTTGGGGCACGCAAATGCTTCCCATCTATTGGTGTTCAGGATAAGGCCCGTCTGTTTGGCACCATTTTGCTTCCTCTTCGCCTGTCCACTCTCCGTTCCGCAGGAAGACAGGTGTGCAAGGAGCAGGCCCGTTGCCAGGATTGTGGGGCTTCTGGGGCAAACTTTTTGCTGGGGGGGGGGCTGCCATTATTTGCCATAATGAAGGGGGGTGCCCACACCTCTCCCTCCCCTCCTGCAAGATTTTAAGGTCCCTTCAGCTGATCCGCAGAGGGCCCTTTCAATCTTGCAGGAAGGAGAGAGATGCGCACCACCCCCTTCTCCTCAAAGGCATTTAAAGGATCCTTTTAAATACTTTTGGGAAGAAGGGGAGCCTTTAAGGAAGGGGGCAACAAGCGAAAGATTTGAAGATCACTTTCAACTTGAGCTCCGGTGACTCAAGTGGTTAAGACGCTGAACTGCAGGCTGTGGAAGGCCGGTAGTTCAGCAGTTCGAGACCTGAGTGTGCCGCATGACGGAGTGAGCTCCCGTCTCTAGTTCCAGCTCCTGCCAAAGCAAGAAATTGCAAGTAGATAAATAGGGACCACTTCAGTGGGAAGGGAACAGCGTTCCGTGTGCCTCGGTGTTTAGTCATGCCGGCCACATAACCACGGAAACGTCTTCGGACAGCGCTGGCTCTTCGGCTTTGAAACGGAGATGAGCACCGCAACCCTAGAGTCGGATTCCACTAGCTTTCGAGGAAGGGAAACCTTCACCTTTTTACCTTCAACGTTTACAAATCTTGTTTGTTAAAAAAAGTCAAAGCTAATTTGTTTAAGCATTGTATAACCTCCATCTCTTGGGGTTTTAGTGGGTTTCTTTACTTTCACCCATAGTTTGTAGATAACCTTCCCTTGTTTCTTTGTAGTTCATAGAAAATGCAATTAAAAATCCCCTACGGGGGGCTTTTAAAAAAAGGAAGGGGGTAGAGCCCCCAGTAGCCCCACCGTAGCTATGGGCCAGGCGAGGGGGCTGAGTGTGGGTGTGATCCCCCCAGCTTGCTCTACAGCCTTCTATTTAGCTCTCCCGCTCCTGCCCAGCTTCTCAGCTCCCCACATTTTTTAATGCAAATAACATCCACAGGAGCCGTTGTGATTTCATAGAGGGTTCAGTTCCTCACCGGGCTGTGAAGCTTACTGGGTGACCATGAGCCAGTTGCACTTTCTCGGCCGATCCTACTTTACAGGGCTGTTGTAAGCATAAAAGAGCATGACCTCCCTAGGGGCTTTCCCGACCCTCTTGGAAGGAAGGGAGCTGTGAAGCCGCTAAGGGGGGGTGTCTCTTTCTCCCTTTTGTCTCCTGCCAGCCGATGAGCCGTGGGTGAGGTCACGGATGACGCGTCCGCGTGCGAGCCCCCGAGGACTCCCCCGCTCCGCCCGAGGATGAGCAAGCCGTGGGGCTTGCCGAACGGTGACCTGGAGCAGAGCCTTCCCGCGATTGCTTCCTCGCTCTCACACAGCCAGGGCTTCTAATGTTCCTTAGGTTAAAAGCAGTCCCTTTGCCTGTCCACTCTCTTACTGGGTGACCATGAGCCAGTTGCGCTTTCCCGGCCGATCCTACTTTACAGGGCTGTTGTAAGCATAAAAGAGCATGACCTCCCTAGGGGCTTTCCCGACCCTCTTGGAAGGAAGGGAGCTGTGAAGTCGCTAAGGGGGTGTGTCTCTTTCTCCCTTTTGTCTCCTGCCAGCCGATGAGCCGTGGGTGAGGTCACGAATGACGGGTCCACGCGCGAGCCCCCGAGGATGAGCAAGCCGTGGGGCTTGCCGAACGGCGACCTGGAGCAGAGCCTTCCCGCAATTGCTTCCTCGCTCTCACACAGCCAGGGCTTCTCCCCGCACCACTACTTCTCTCCCGAGAGGAGAAAGATCATTTCCGATGTCCGGCGGACCTTTTGCCTCTTTGTGACCTTTGACCTCCTTTTCATCTCACTCCTCTGGATCATTGAGTTGAATGTGAGTTTGGGGGGGCCACTTTGGGAAACGGGGGTCTTCAGCCTCGATGAGCCGTGGGTGAGGTCACGGATGACGCGTCCGCGTGCGAGCCCCCGAGGACTCCCCCGCTCCGCCCGAGGATGAGCAAGCCGTGGGGCTTGCCGAACGGTGACCTGGAGCAGAGCCTTCCCGCGATTGCTTCCTCGCTCTCACACAGCCAGGGCTTCTCCCCGCACCACTACTTCTCTCCCGAGAGGAGAAAGATCATTTCCGATGTCCGGCGGACCTTTTGCCTTTTTGTGACCTTTGACCTCCTTTTCATCTCACTCCTCTGGATCATTGAGTTGAATGTGAGTTTGGGGGGGCCACTTTGGGAAACGGGGGTCTTCAGCCTCTCCTGGGATTCTCACAAAACAAACGGGGAGCGGCGCAGATATCATTTGTATAGCCTCAGCAACAAGCACCCTGCAGTGTGGAAGCGCTTTGCCAGGCCACTCCCAGCGCGGCAGCCTTGCAGAGCCACCGAGGCTAAGGCCAGTGTGCCGGACTCCCCCGTGTCACTCCTCGTGCAGTGGGATCCCTCTGTGGCATGCTGCTGCCGCCGTAATCCACAAGTCCACCTTTTGGCCAGGGTCTCGTTGCCCCCTGGGCAATGCTGAGGAAGTGGCGTGTCGAGGGACGCTCTGGAGACCGACATCTCTGCCTGCCTGCCTGCCTGTCCCCTGAGGATACCAGAAAACATCATGCAGTCCCCCTAGTTGCCCATGACTCTTTGATTTAGGGTGCTGTTTTTACATGATTGCTACTCTTAGGTTAGGAGCTGCGGTGGCTCAAGTGGTTAAGACGCTGAGCTGCAGGCTGTGGAAGGTCGGTAGTTCAGCAGTTCGAGACCCGAGTATGCCGCATGACGGAGTGAGCTCCCGTCCCTAGTTCCAGCTCCTGCCAACCTAGCAGTTCAAAAGCAAGAAACTGCAAGTAGATAAATAGGTACCACTTCAGTGGGAAGGTAACAGTGTTCTGTGCACCTTGGTGTTTAGTCATGCCGGCCACATGACCACGGAAACGTCTTCAGACAGCGCTGGCTCTTCGGCTTTGAAACGGAGATGAGAACCGCAACCCTAGAGTCGGACTCGACTGGCTTTCGAGCAAGGGAAACCTTTACCTTTACCTTTACTCTTAGGTTGGACAAGGGGTGAGCTGCTCCTTTTCTTCCAGGCCGGGGATAGAAGTGTCCTGTATTTGAATTCGCTTCTGCCTTGGACGAGTAAACAGGCTGGACTGATTCTGGGAGCTCTTGATTCTGGTTCGAAAGATAACGGAAATAAGCCCTAGATCAGGGGTCCCCGGCAGGGTTCCCTCTAAGCTGAGTTAGGGTGAGCTAGCTCACAGTTCTTTAACCTCCCTCTGACATATTGTCGTCTTAGCCGATGGGATTGCCTCTACTAATTGGGCCCAGGCATACTCACAGCGGCAACTCATGCAGAGGGGCAGTAAGCAACCTCCTCTGAGAGTATTTGTGTTTACAGCAGACTAATATTTTGTATTTGTCACAGTGCTGGTCTGTCCCAGCTCAAGGTTTAGGAAGTACTCACTATAGACAAGAAAGGTGAAAGCCAAGAATGCAGGGAGAGGGGAGTGGAAGAGGAGATTTCATTCCCTGGTGGGCCATGGCGTGAGAGACAGCGTTAGAAAGTAGCAATACAGCTGTCATTTACTTACGAAACTCCTGACATTTCTTAATTTCTTTGCCTTCGATCTTGTGTATCCACAGACCTCCAAAGGCATCCAGTATAATTTGAAAGAAGAAATTATCGACTACAACTTTAAGTCATCTTTTTTTGACATATTTGTAAGTATTCTGATGACGGTGTCATTTGCAAGTCCAGCTCAGGGGAAGGTTTATGGGGGAAGACTCAAAGTCAGCAAATGGGATTTCTTGGACAAATTCTCCAGTGGGTGGTTGTAGAAGGTTTACGGGGAAATATTCAAAGTCAGCAAAAGAGATTGTCAGACAGATTCTCCATCAGGTTAGTTGTAGAAGCATGCAAGTTTTCACATTTCACATAACTTTGTCTTTTCTGGTAGAGTTCTGGAAATTCTGAAAATATACAGATTCTGTGAATTTAGGATGAAAAAAAATATTTCTTTTGTGTTTGAGTACCTTCACTCTTGCCCATGAATATTTTCTTTGTTCTTTTTTAAAAAAATAGCTCTTGGCAGTTTTCCGGTTCTTATTGCTGCTTTTGGGATACGCCGTTCTAAGGCTCCGCCACTGGTGGATTATTGCAGTAAGAGGCTATCTTTTGAAAAAAAATTGCTCTTAAAGAAGCACATTCATTTAATTGTTAGGGAGAGAGAAATGTGACTTCTAACAGCTCTCTCTCTCTCTCTCTCCCCCCTCTCCTTTCCCCTTCCCTTTTCTTCCCCTCCCCAAGGTCTCAACCTTGGTGTCCAGTGCCTTCCTGATAGTGAAAGTTATCCTCTCAGATGTAAGTAGCCGCTGACCCCCGTAACAGTGGGTTCCCCTTCTCTTCTCCACAGGCACTTTTCAAAAGCTTGGGGCGAGGGGTGGCCTGGAAAAAGGATGCCCGAAGACAGCCAATCAAAATGTAACTTTAGAAATTGTCAAATCAATCTCCATCCAGTCTGGTTTTGCAAAAAAAAGGGGGAGGGGTAATTTTTTTTTTTGAATTATAATAATTTTTAATAAATAGATATAAAACAATTGATGCAGAGAATCCCAAACAATACGAACTATTTAACATTAATAATGTTCTTGGTATTCTATTCAGTATACCCATCTAAAACGTAACTATTTAAAACTTAACATGTTTTCTAATAATACGGTTTGGTTAGCAACCGTCTGATATAAATGAGCCCGCCTTGGCTGGGAAGGCAGGATATACATCTAAATAAATAAATACATACATAAATATTTGAGTTCAACTAGCTAGTATTTACTGTTCAAAGTTAAAACATACTTTTAAGTCTGGGGTTTACAGAATAAACAAGAGGTGGGACCCGCGATACTCGCGTGGGGGGGGAGTATTCCCTGCAGCTCCCGGGTGGCTCGCCTGCCGAAGCAGCAGGAGCTCCGCACAGAGGAGGACACAGCAGCTGCTGCAGGTGAACCCAGCAGGCGGTCCGTTGGGCTCGCCAGGATTCCCCCCACACACACACGACGACAGCAGCAACAACAGCTGCAGTTAGCCACCAGTCCTCCACCCCCCCCCCCAGCAATGGCCGCGGCTCCCGGCTGCTGGCTGCCAAGGCTTCTCTTCCCGCACCGCCAAAAGCAGCCACAGTTCCTGTGGGTAAGTGCTTTCTCTGCGCATGCGCAGGGAAGGCTCTTTTACTTTGGGGGGGATTTAAATATCCCCTGTATACTTTTTCAACTTTTTAGATTTTTCTGCACATTTTGGGATTGCCTCAAATGTGCAGGAAAATCTCCCTGCCCCCCCCCCCCAGGGGCCCCCGATGTGCGGATTTAGATATCCGCACGCAGGGGGCATGTTGGGAATTATATATATCGATACTTCAGATGAAGCAAAGTAAGCAGGAACAATTCCATTCCGTGCCACCTAACTTATGACCGGAAACCATTTTTTCAAGAAAAGTCGATTGATATTTTTTAGGTTCGAGTTGTAACAGTCTATTTGTAATTTTTTTTCTAAAATACAACAATCCCATATCTTAAACATCCATAACGATACTTTGAGGGCGCCGATTTGTTCTTGATTTGTTTTGATTTATTAGATTTCTACCCTGCCCCTCCTGGCCTGCCTCTTCCACTTTGAAGCTATCGCCGTCTTTGCAGCGGTTAATAACGTGACAGAGTCTACAGTGTTTGTGGAATTGGAGTATCTTCCCATAGATTAAGCAGTATTAGCTCAGGTCGTAAAGGGAGGTAATTAAAGGGGGGTAATTAATTTTTGAAGGGGTCTCTAATCCCTATTCAGAGTTCCAATCCCTAAGCAGAGTAACCCCTTCTGTGTGTGTTGACTCCAGAGGATTTGGGAGGGTGGAACTCAGCGGAGGTTTGTGCTGCCAACGACTGCCACTTTTTGACTTGAAAACGTCTCTTCTTTTGTCCCCCTCCCCCACAGCTCCTGGCCAAAGGTGCCTTCGGTTACCTCCTGCCCATCGTCTCCTTTGTCCTCGCCTGGTTGGAAACATGGTTTCTGGATTTCAAAGTTTTACCTCAGGAGGCCGAGGAAGAGCAGTGTGAGTCTGCACATCGAGGGGGGGGGGACCCGTGCTGGTGCCTGTCCACCCCGGTTTGGCTTTGCCTGTACTTTGAGCAGCCATAGCAACCTGAACAGCAGTGTTAGGAGAGTCAAGCAACGAATAAATATACACTTGCAAGAAACTTTTGTAAATGAATGTGTTCTGTTTATAATTATCATTCTATAAAGTGCATTGTGTGCTGTTAAGAACATAAGAACATAAGAGATGCCAATGTTGGAACAGGCCAAAGGCCCATCCAGCCCAACAGTCTGTGTCACACAGTGGCCAGAAATACCAGGTGCCATCAGGAGGTCCACCAGTGGGGCCAGGACACTAGAAGCCCTCCCACTGTTGACCCCCCCCCAAGCACCAAGAAGACAGAGCATCACTTGCCCCAGAGCCCCTATCTATACCTTGTGGCTAATAGCCACTGATGGACCTCTGCTCCATATGCTTATCTAATTCCCTTTTGAAGCCGTCCATGCTTGTAGCCGCCACCACTTCCTGTGGCTGTGAGTTCCAAGTGTTAATCACTCTTTGGGTGAAGAAGTACTTCCTTTTATCCGCTCTAACCCGACCGCTCAGCAATTTCATGGAGTGCCCACGAGTTCTTGTATTGTGAGAAAGGGAGAAAAGGACCTCTTTCTCTACCTGCTCTTTCCCATGCATAATCTTATAAACCTCAATCATGTCACCCCTCAGTCGTTGTTTCTCCAAGCTAAAGAGCCCTAAGCGCCTTAACCTTTCCTCATCCTAGTCAGGTATATATATTCATTACATTCAATATAACATATCATTCAGTTCATTCAATTTAACAACTACCAGTCAATTTTGCATCAGTATTTAAAAAGTCAAGCCCCAACGGGAGTTTCCAGAATTACGCGCCCGCTGCACAATGTGGTAAGAAAACTTATGAAGCCAAGCTATGCTAGAAAAACTATAACTTTTAGACTTATGAATTATGTCTTTTAAATAGTCTTTTGTAGGGCCGGCAGTAAGCATCAACACAACTATAAATGAAAGCTCTCCCCCTTCTGGAAGACTTCATGCAAGTAGATTGATAATTATAAACAGAACACATTAATTTACAAAAGTTTCTTGCAGTGTATATATTCGTTACTGTACTTTTGGCAGGGCAAAAGGGTGGGGCAGGCAGGGACTTTTCAGGAAGCAATCTTAGCAAAGAACTGGATTTTTTTTTTGTAGTGAGCATTTTAGGACTCCCGGTTCCAGTGCTTTGAGGCCATTTAATGTGCTTTTTCCTCCCCCGTGCAGGGGAAAGAGCAGGTCACCGATAAGGCAGCACGTAGTAAATTATCTGAACAGATAGATAATCCGAAAGCAGAGATACCCAGAGGAGGACTCCCATTTTTTTTAAAGTAACGATGACAGAAGCAAACGAGCACTTTAAAGCCACTATTAGGTTTGGAACGTCCTCCGGATCACTTGGGGGAGATAAGCGCTCTGTTGCATTAGGTGCTCAATTGCTTTGGAGACAGAGAGCCAGCAGAGATAAAAAAGCATTGGGCTCCAGCTGAAATCCCGAGCGAGGCAGTTTGGCCAGCCCACGGGCGGTGTGGAGAGACCCCCAGCCCTTTGCGCAAAACCGTTGCATGCATACGTGGGAACCGCCTTGCGCCCATCGTGTGCCACCGAATATAAGCTGCAGTCGCACACGTTGACTGTTCCTGTTGGGTCCAGTGATTCAGAATCGCGGGGGGACTCGACACTCAAGCTGACAGGAAGGGAGGGAAGGTATTCCCGTGTCGTTCTCTGTAGCACCACGAGGGCTAGAAACGCATGCTCCAGGAGGCGAAAGACTGTAGACCGAGGAGGGGAGAACATGGCCATCTAGTCCATCTCACAGATGGCTCATACTCAGATGTCAAGTTCTGCCTCGGATAGCAGGGTCTGCATTGGGCACGGCAACTTCAGATGTGCAAAAATGCGCACAGTTCATCTAACGGTGCAAGCGTCTTTCCGCACACCTCTTTTTGGAGAACCGACTAACTGGCGTTTCCTGGGAGCCGACCGTGGCGCACATCCAGAGTGTTGGTCGCATGCTCCTCTCTCTCCCCACTGAGAGACTTTGGAGTCGGACACGGATCAGCGAGGCCAGCTTTTGCGTGACCCGCCCCCTTCAAGAGATTAGGGAGCAGTCTTTTTGCTGTGTCACCGATGCTTGCGCTGCTGATGAAACTCTGCTGACCTTTCTGTTGGAGTTGCTTATTCTAATGGCTGCCCCACTTGGCTCCAGTGAAGCTGTGGTTCCCATGGCCTGCAGGGAAGGAAGGATTTCTCTTAATGCACGTTCCTGTAAGTTTCCCAAAAGAGGGCAGCCCATCTTTGAGCCCTGGGTATAATGCTAGAGCTGGTGCAGCGTAGTAACTGCATCAACCTTGGGGAAGATGCGGGTTCAAATCCCTGCTCAGATCCCTGAGAGCCAGTTTGGTGTAGTGGTTAGGAGCGGGGAGTCTAATCTGGGAGGACCGGGTTTGATTCCCCACTCCTCCATGTGCAGCTGCTGGTGTGACCATGGGTCAGTCACAAGTTCTTTCAGAGCTGTTCTCTCAAGGGCAGTTCTCGGGAGAGCTCTCTCAGCCCCGCCTACCTCACAGGGTGTCTGCTGTGGGGAGGGAAAGGAGATTGTAAGCCACTCTGAGACTTCTTCGGGGAGTGAAGGGTGGGGTATAAATCCAATCTCTTCTCTTCTTCTTCTTCTGCTCAGCCAGGATGCTTATTGGGTGGCCTTGGGCTAGTTAACTCTCTTTGATCCCAGCCTACCTCACAGGGTTTTTGTCGAGATAAAATGGAGGAGGAGATAACCTTTTATGTTTTCCTGAACTCCTTGGAGGGGCAAAAATTGGGATGAAAAGATGACAATTATATTTTTTTTAACTTTTAAAATTTGTTTTGAAGGAAAGAAACAAAAAAGAGCAAGGGGGGAAAACTTAAAACCCAGCAATTAAATAAGAGTTTTAAAAAAGAGGAAAACAACACATAAAAACAAAAATGTAACAACAGGGATGGTGGCAGACCTCCACGTAAGTTTCTGTAAATCGTTTCCAAATATCTAAAAATGAGTCCGTAGGCGACTGCCATCTATGTGCCATACATTCAAAAATTGATAAAGTTCTAAGGTCCTCAGTCGGTTGATTTACCGGAAGTGGGCTTTTCTCTTTCCATTGTTGTAATAAGAGTCTTTTAGCTGTAGTCAGGAGCACAGAGGGTCCATTTTTGTTGACCATCAGTTAGCCTCCAGGAGATGGGGAGATAGTTTAAAAGATGACCGTCATGACTCGTGAACAGGGGTCATTTCGTAGAAAAAGAGGTTTAGCATAACTTATTTGCATATGCCGGAAGTGTGTCAGAAGGCAACACCCACCGCTCAGGCTCCACTGGACTGTTTTGGATTGCTAGCTATTGGGGGGGGGGGACATGCAGATCTGTCCTCACAGAGGAGGGAGAGCTTGTACCTGAATAAAACTTGGTCTTAAAGGTGCCACTGGACTGTTTTGGGCCGGGGGGAGCTCTGCAACTTACCTGGCTGCTTCTTGCTCTGACTGAGGGCTGCTGGGAGCAGGGAGCTCTTTACTGCCGGAGCTCCACTCCTGTGCGCTCCTGCAGGAAATGACTCCTACTCGTGAGTCAGCGTAAGTACTTGTTTCTTTCCTTTTCAGGGTACTTGGCGGCTCAGGCTGCTGTGGCCCGTGGACCCCTTCTTTATTCAGGAGCGCTCTCCGATGGCCAGTTCTATTCCCCTCCAGAATCTGCTGCAGGTAACGAACGGCTCTTCCTTTCTGGGGCCCACCGGTAGACTTTTGTGTTTCAGTTCCAGAGTGCTGAGTAAGCAAAAGGTGGCTCATACTTAGCAGTCCGTTTATAAAGCAACATCAGAGCTGCAAACTCACTCCCTGGGAGAAACCTTTGCCAAACCCGTGCTTTGGAGCCAGCGAGCAGAGCATATGCCCTGTTGTTGTTTTTTAAATCTCACGCTGGTTTAAATAATTGTCCCATCTTTTAATCGTAACTTATGGTTTTAATGTAATTATCGGTCTTTGTAAGCCGACCTGAGCCGGATTTGGCTGGGAGGGCGGGGTAGAAGTTCAAATGAATAAATAAATAAATTCTTTGAGCCACGGGCACAAAAATGCCTCTTCCCATTTTTCACACAAACACTCACAGACCTTACTTTTCCAGATCCTTTGGCTAAACATTAGGAAGAACTTCCTGGCAGTTAGAAGCGTCTGGAGGTGGTGGGCTCTCCTTCTTTGGAGGCTTTTAAGCAGTGGATAGATGCCCAGCTGATAGCAGTGCTGATTCTGTGAATTCAGACAGATTTTGAGAGGGAGGGCAAGAAGGGGGTGAACCAGATCTCTCGTGGCCCTTTCTTATATGCTGATGGCCACTTTGGGGTCAGGAAAGGAGTTTCCTCCAGGCCAGATAGGTCAGGGATACTCGAGGTTTTCTGGCTTCCTCTGGGCGTAGAGCAGGGGTCACTGGAGGAGGGGTAGTTGTGAATTTCCTGCACTGTGTAGGGCAGGCATGTCCAACTTCGAACAGGTAGTGATCTATTTTTTTCCGGCCAAATGTGCCGGTGATCTACCACCATGAAAATAAAGTTTCAAATTAGATTTTAACCCACTAAAGTTGGGTTCCACCGCCCCCCCCCCCCCATTTTTAATCCCCCCCCTTTTGCTCATTAGTGAGGCCATTAGTGAGACCAAGTGGGGCTGGTGATCTACCTCTGACCAATATTCCCTCTAAGCGGTAGAGTCGTGTGAGCAAAAATTCAACTTGGTGAGCTACCGGCATTCAAATTGTGAGCAACTGATTTGGCTGCTGCATAAATCAGTTTGCTCTGGAGCCCTCCTTCCTTAGTTGAGACAAAAATGGGTGAGCCGGAGGCTAAAAAACTATGAGCTAGCTCACACTAACGCAGCTTAGCGTGAACACTGCCTCTGACCACTCCGCGATCTACCTGTTGGACATACCTGGTGTAGGGGGTTGGACAAGATGATCTTTGAGATCCCTTCCATCTCTGTTTCCTTTTACTCTCCCTACTCTTAGGCTCAGACGAGTCGGACGATGAGCTGTTGGGAAAGAGGGTGTTGACCGAGGAGGTAAGCCTGGGGTAGACTTGACCTTATAGCAGCTGTCGTTCACATGCACTTCTGTCTGGGTGTTAAAGCCCTCGCCTCCAATGCTTACCTGAGTGGTGTGGCGTAGGCGACGGCTCGTGCGCCCACAAGGCCCTCCACAGCAGATGCACGGATGCCCACCCCAAGACACCCTGGAAGTCAATAGCCAAGCTGGGGTTTGAAGCCCCAAAGAGCTGTGTCGTTCACAGGATGTCTTTCAGAAATGTTCTCCGCTTGGTATAGCCAAGTTTGGTGTTAGGGTTGCCAAGTGCTTACCTGTTCTGGAGCGGGGGAGTCCAGCCTTGCTCTGGGAGTCTTCGCGCGTGCACGAAGCGCACTCGCACCGCAAGCACGTCACACGGAAGTGACGCAAGCACGTCGGGGACGTTGGGGGCAGGGCCACAATCATCCGAGGGAAAACCATAGAGTTTTCCCTCGGATGATTGTGGCCCC